CTTTGGTACTATTATAAAAAATTGTTAGGCATATATGAATTTTACAAAGATCTTCAGATTTTATTTATTTATTTATTTTTAAAGATTTTATTCATTTATTTATTAGAGAGCAAGAGAGAGAGAGAAACAGCACGAGAGGGGAGAGGGTCAGAGGGAGAAGTAGGCTCCCCGCTGAGCAGGGAGCCCGATGTGGGACTCGATCCCAGGACTCCGGGATCATGACCTGAGCTGAAGGCAGTCGTTTAACCAACTGAGCCACCCAGGTGCCCCAAAGATCTTCAGATTTTAAAAATGCATCTTAACTTTCAATATACCAGGAAAAATAGTCATTGCCATTCACCATCTGGGTCCAGTGAATCTTAAAATTAAAAATATATGTATATTTAATTCATTTTATGAGTAATTTACCAAGTATAAAGGGGTAGTTCAGTTAGAAAGTTTAATAAGAATTTAAGCATTGTAAACACAATTTTTATTTCATATATTTTGGCTTTGAAGATATATATATATGCACACACATATTTTAGAGTTACATAAATATGAAACAGGCAGTGTCAGTTGAATGTGACCAACTGCTCATCACTTGCCATGTGTGAACCTGGAACATATCCATCTTAGAAATAGTAACTCTAGATTCCAAATACATTTCTATTAGGTTCAAGCTTATCTTTACTTCTGGTTCTTGCACTTGCATCATGAAAATGCAAAACTGATGACATGATTTTGTTGAAGAAGGATGGCAATTATTGGAAAACATTTTAATTTTTAAATTTATAAGCAATGACAATGACTAATCCAATAATTTTTTCATTTCCACATCACTTATTTCTTTTCAGTCACCTTTGTATACATAGTTGTCTTCAGCGTTTTTCATCTTAGGAACTATAAAGTAAATTTTGGTGCATAAACATCATAAAAAGTGAAAGAATACAGCCACACCACCCATTTAGCAAAATTAAATGGTGCAGGTCCTTGTAAAATTTGCATGATGAAGCCCATCCTGTTGAATAAGTGGATGAGAATACCAGATTTTCTAATTGTCCTTAGAAATATATGGTTCACTCCTCCATTCTTAAGTTTCAGAGAACTGATTTAGAATCATGGTCTGAGATTTTGCTTGCATGGTCAATCTCATCAGCATCATTAGGGTCCAGAGTACTGCCCTCTGTCTCTTTGCATTTACCTTCTGATTCCTTTAATAATTGTAGAAATTCTTCTGTTAATTTCCTTCTACTTGCCATTATAGTCAAAACAAAGAATTCTATACTATTAACCGTAATCATCAAAAGCCTTTAAAAAAAAAAAACCAAAACAACAAATTCTAAAAATGGTGTCTCTCCAAACTTTTATATCTTCTTGAAAGATAATGCAGTACTTTGGGCAATGCTATATGAAAACTGAAGGATGATCATTTATTTTACTATTACATACTATTCTTCTAGGGGATTCCATCATTTTTCCATTTCCTTACTATTTTAGTCTTTTAAAGCCTAGTTGGAAATAATTGATTCGTAATGATTAAATAATTCCTGGGATGATGAAATAAATATTTCAAAAGATGTAGGAAGAAGTAAATCACTGAGATCCCATAATGTATCTTAGAGTTATAAAAGGGTCCAGTGGACCTATATGGGAATTGAAAGATAAAAGTTTTTAAAAAGCACATTTTCTCTTTATCCCTTGGAGAATATTAAGACTAAAAGTCATGAAATATCAATCTTTATAAAGTTAGGACTGCTCAGAAAAAGAAACCCAGAACTAAAATTTTGTTCAATGGGCCCATATAGTATCTCAGATAAAGTCATGGGGGGGTGGAAGTATTTCTTAAGAGAACTAAAAACTTTATAAAGGCCTAGATCAGAGATCAGAGATCAGCAGGGGCAGTTTCAGCCCATGCTTTCTTTGCTGAAAATGCTCCTCATCCCTCAAAGGACTGGGTGCATGTGGCGCTCTTTGTTCTAGAATATCCTAACTCAGGCCACAGGTAATTGGTCCAGGGGTTGACAGTTTTGAATACAAATTCCTTTTTTCAGATTTTGAATCATAATAAACAAACATGGGGCACTGGAGCTAGAGGTAGGTCAAAGATAGCAGTACCACAGACCCCAAAGTCTTAAGCAAGACTAGATTGCAAAGCAGCAGAAAAGACATTTTCAGAGAAATCAAGCTACAAACAGAATGAAGTAGATATTCAGAATCCAGACAACGTGACCCAGTGAGGGGGAGATGGTGACAAAACCTGGCTGTACTTCCTGCAATTTGAATTTTTGTAATTCTTTATAATACCCTTTTATCTAAGTTAGAGTTGGGTTTCTGTTTCTTGAAAATGACAGATCCCTAAAACAGAAATTAGTGCCAGCAGTGGGATTGCAAGTAATAGACTCTGAGTGCAAATGAACTAGCTGTGGAGTCAAGGCAGAGGGATGGGGTAAAGGCAGGAGTGACAGAAAGGATTCCCTATTCCACGGAAAACTGGTAGAATGGAGGTAAGAGATGGCAAAATAGCTAAACAATTGTCTAAAATCTCTTGGCACCCAAACCACGTATCAAGAAAGGCAAACCTTCAGATTTAAAAGTTGTCAAATGATGGGCGCCTGGGTGGCTCAGTTGGTTAAGCGACTGCCTTCGGCTCAGGTCATGATCCTGGAGTCCCGGGATGAGTCCCGCGTCGGGCTCCCTGCTCGGCAGGGAGTCTGCTTCTCCCTCTGACCCTCCCCACTCTCATGTGCTCTCTCTCTCATTCTCTCTCAAATAAATAAATAAACTCTTTAAAAAAAAAAAAAGTTGTCAAATGTTGAAATGTAGTAGTGTTAGGTTAATTCCCTGTGTACATGATTAAAATGCAGTGGTGAAAAATTTTCTGTACCAGGTTGTCTGGCTAAAAGCAGATAGGGAAAGGCAGGAATTATGTATGTTACTTAAAGGGAAGTCTTCTACTGAGAGTGTTGAAGATGAGGTTCAGATACTCCCTAGGAATTTGGAAAAGCTCAGGGCTCAGGAGCCTAACAACTGAAGGTATCTAGCAGTAGCTAGAATAGTCTGGGAAACCTAGCCCTTTTCTGCAGGATAAACATGTTGATTACTATCAGCCCTAGTAAATCACTTCCTTAGACTGGAATGTAATCTGTGGAGGGAAGGGATTTTTAGGGGTAGACTGTGGAAGAAGTGCCTTCTGTTCTGCAGCATTTTCCCACTTTTCTCCTTTATTCTCTTGAGGACAGGGCCATTAAGAACAATAGGTCTAAGAAGAGCTGAATTAACAAAAATCCTGAGGGAATGGTCATTAGGTAGCCTGGTAATTAAGGAAGCAACCCACAGAAATTCCTGGCATTGCCTTTTAGTCAAGGATGTACTCAAGAGCGATTGAAAGCTCACTAAAATTCTGGAGTAGTTATCATCAGAAGAACCTTAGTCTTGAACAAGTACCTATACCAACTCACAGCAACATGGTGTTTAGTCCTAGTCTCTTCTGGAGGCTCTGACTCAAGTAGAAAGGAAGCTGGCCCCAGACAATACTTACTAAAGTGGAGAGAGGTCGACTCGAATGTCCTTCACGCCTGAAGGACAATGGGAAAAGGAAATCCTTCTAATGGACAGATCCTGGGACCGTCAGGCATGACTTAGGAACTTATTCTGCTGCCAAGAGGGTCAAGAAACAGACTCGGGACCTTTATTATTTAGGGGCAGACTAGTGACCAGTATTTGATCCTTTTTTCCTAGGTTTTTTCCCTACCTCTAAGTCAACTTTTTCTAATCGATTGTTTTCATTGACGTTTTTCCTATTCTATTTTTGGCGTAAACCCAGAGGAGGCCATTCTGGCAGGGTGGTGATTATGGTAACCAGATGGGGACTGAGCAGCAGCCACTTGTAGCTGCACCTAGAATACTGGATCACGTTAGGCAAGACTATGTATCTTGAAGGATGAGGTGTTCTGCAGAAAAGAGTAAGATGTTAGTGGAACTGACCTAGTTAGTCCATATCCACTTCCTGGGAATGATTCCAAAGCCCCCATTTTTTACCAGGTGACACCACTTTCAAGGCTTCCACAAATGGTTGTGCAAGGATGTGTGCATACTGCATACTTCTATGAGGAGGTCCTGCTCCATCATCCTGGCCACAACTGACTGAGACCAATGATCACACTGAGTGAGCCTCAGTCTCAGGAGCTGAACTAAGATACCAAGAGGTAAGTAGCAGTCAGTAGAGTTGTGAGGTTCTACAGAGTTGGGTTCAGAGTCTGCATCATGGCAACTCAAAGGCATGAATGCCAAGACTATGGAGACAGGGCTAACATGTTACCCTGTATGGAGGAGCAGTAATGAAGAGGCCTTCAGAGATATCAGTTCACAGAGAATAAAGCAGACAGATGCTTAGGTGTGAAAAAAAATAAAGGAGAGAGACAGGGAAAGAGGCACAAAGGAAGAGGGAGAGCAGAAAAGAAGGAAGGTAGGGGATAGACAGAACTAGACATAGGAAAAGCCAGAGGCAACTGCAGACACAGAGAAAGTTATGAACTACTGGTGACCTCCTAGACACCACAATGTCCAGCTATTCTTCCTGCAATTAAATTCCAGATTTTGGATTCTTTTTTAACAACTTCCTGTTTACAGGCTATTTTAGGTAGATTTCTGATTCTTGCAGCCAAACAATTCTTGACCTAAATATCTGCTCCTTGATTGTAGCTGCATCTTATTAAATGTTTAATTTGCAACTATGGAAATACATATACTGCCTAACATAACTGGGACACTGTAAAAAAGTGAGGCTTTCGGGAGAGGGACTGTTTGTAACATCTAAAGACTTTCAAAAACAGACTTGGTTTTATACAGTAATAATAGCTAACATTTACTGAGCACTTCCCTTGGGCCAGTTTCAAAAGCTGTGCATGAACGATCTCACCTATTCATGACAACTCTAGGTTTTGCTGCTATCAATCCCATTCTGCAGATACAGAAATTAAGGCACAAAGAGATTAACTTGCTTACGGACACACAGCCAGTAAGGGAATAAAGGTGGGATCTATTGTTTATTTGCATTAAAATTGACATTTGAAAAAAAAAAGTGTATGCATTCATTTAAAATTCATTTCAGTTGATAAATTTTTGTTGAATGCCTCTTATGTACAAAGTATGGATTTAAACTAGTAAACTGGTTAACGGTGATGTTACAAATACAAAGTCCTTTTAAATAATCACTATGCAAAATAAATCTTCCTTTCTGTGGTACATACACACACACACAAAGATGTGCTTTCAAATTAAGTTTTTCAATTTCCAAAATACCTCCTTTAAAACAGAAGGGAATACATTCTGACAATGCTGTTTTTAATGCCTTAACCATTTCAAAATTCACTGGAATATCTGAAGATAACTTTGTGCAGGCTGGACTCATGTGAAAAGAAAGCTTGACTTCAGAAGGAAGTCTACACTGATGAATACATATCCATTTAATTAACTGCAGTGTACGTTACATGTATATAAAAAAGTCAAATGACAAGAATGAGAGGAGTTTTTCACGGAAGGTGGTGAGTAGCCAGGGATTCTGCTTCTCTTGATTTTCTGAGCAGGGCTTGTTTGAGGGCACTAATTTTTTCATCAAGTTCAGCCAGTGAATAGTTATGCTGTAAACAACAAGAATACAGATTGCTGAATATGACTCTGAAGTATCTTAATGCAGACAAAGTGCTAAATGAACTATAACTATTTAAAATATGGTAAATGTCTTTTTTTTCCTTCATGAGAATAATTTTTAAATTGAACTATATATGTTGACTGTATCATAAATTTAAAGGCATAAAACAACAGGCTTAAATATTTCTTACTTTCTTTCTCTTTCCTAATGACAGAGCTCTCCTGGACCTCTTATACTTTGAAAGGATTGTAAAAACTTTTTCTTTAACCTACTATTCTCATAATCAATAGTAAAAAAATTAAACTTTATGATTAGCTTAACTGCTGGAAATTCTCTTTTGATGGGTCAACTGCAATCAACTACCTCTCCTGGAAAAAATGGATGCTCTCAAAAATTTCCTCAAAATATTACAATTAAAAAATAAGTAGTATGTTACTCTTAAAAAATAAATCAAAGGGACGCCTCGGTGGCTCAGTCGGTTAAGCGTCTGCTTTCGGGCTCAGGTCATGATCTCAGAGTCCTGGGATGGAGTCCTGCATGAGGCTCCTTGCTCAGCGGGGAGCCTGCTTCTCAGTCTCCCCCTGCTTGTGCTCTCTCTCTGTCAAATAAATAAGTAAAATCTTTAAAGAAAAAAAAAAAATCTTTTTTAAGTTTTCTCCAACTTAAATTTTACATTACTGCCATTAACAGCTACCAGAACCTCACTAATTAAGATTCAACTAATTAATATAGTAGTACTATGGACAGTGGTGGGCTGAAGTCAACCTCTGCCAAACACTTTTTTTTTTTTAGTGTTCCATGATTCATTGCTTGTGCATAACACCCAGTGATCCACGCAGAACGTGCCCTCTTTAATATCCATCACCAGGCTAACCCATCCCCCTACCCCCCTCACCCTTTTTTGATTTAGATGCTAGTTAGTAGTGTCAGCAAAGTGGGGAGGGGGAGGGGCGCCTGGCTGGCTCAGTAGGTAGAGAATGCAGCTCTTGATCTTGGGGTCGAGTTCAACCCCGAAGTTGGGCGTAGAGATTACTTAAAAGTTGGAGAGGGTGGGCTGGGGTGTCTGGGTCGCTCAGTCGGTTAAAGGTCAGACTCGGTTTCAGCTTAGGTCGTGATTTCAAGTTCGTAAGATCAAACCCCAGGGGCATAGGGCTCTGGGCTCTGTGCTCAGCGGTGGGGGGGTGTGTGTGTGTGTCTGCTTGAGATTCTCTCTCCCTCCCCTTCTGCCCCTCCCATTCTTGTGCGCTCTCTCTCAAATAAATCTTTAAAAAAAGGGGGGGGGGATTATCTGAGCATTTATTATTTTTCAGCATTTTGTAACTGATACATTTTGCTACAAGTAACAGCTAGACACTTTTATATTTGACCCCTCTGATTCCATGCCCTTGAAATAAAATTATTTCTTTAATTCAAATACATAAATTTATACTGCCCTTTTTTTTTCAGTCCTAAATGCCAGGGTATGATCTAAAAGCAACCAGAGTAGTAACTTTTATTGATAAGAGAGGTATAAAACTAATCAAACTACTTCAGAAGCCACAATGAAAATTCAGTAACTTACTTGAGGTGGTTGAACTTTTCTTCTTTTTCCAGAAAAGCTCTAGATTAAAAAGTAAAAAAAGTAAGTAATCAATGCTTAGAAAATTGAAACAATTTTCCTTCATAAAATACTAAACAAAATATGGAGAACCCTGGCAGAAACAGCCCACAACTCTCCACAAACACTAGCTGCCACTGAAATCTGTCTTCTTGTATCTTGGAGGGTACCCTCCAAACAATGCTATTAAAAGTACACAGTAGTAACATCGAAGCAACATGCTCCTCCTGGCTCCTTCCCAGCTTCTGATGAGGGTAATTATGGAAGGAGATGCTCTGGGGGTTTTTTTTTACTTAGTTTCCTTTTTTATAGCCTTTCATCCCAGAATACTGAACAAGTGAAGTGAAGCAGCATTAGACAGAGGAAAACACAATTTAGAGTCCCAGGCCAAGGGGTGCAAAGACACACATGCACACAGACCGCTGACTGACTAATGATCACTGGTTATCTGTGCAAGTGTGCTTCTCCGTGGGACTCACGGGAATGCTGATCGTACCCCCACTGGTCTTGTCAGTGACTGGAATGGGCATGGGCCCAGTTCTGGCCAATGGGTAAGAGGTCTGCTGGGGATTAGGGGGAGAGCTTCTGGAAAAAACTTCCTCACTTCTAAGAGAAAGCCCTCAAAGGAGGCAGTTCCTCTGGACACTGCTGTATCCAAATAGGACACCTGAAAGTAGCTGTCTTGCCATCTGCCTGGGGAAAAAGCCAACACCAAGCAGAACTGAGGGGGAAAGGTCCCAATTCTTTGACAACCATGATATTTAGCCAATGAATCCATTACTGTGAAGGGTGTACTATGCTGAACTTGCTACTTTATAACTTGCGCACTCTTTAAGCCAGTTTGAGTTTAAACATCTACAACTTAAGCTGACAACATTCTCACTGACATGCTGCCGCGCCTTTTAAACCCTGACCAAATGAATTTTTTTAGATTTTGTTCTTAGTCTCACAGAACCCCAAACTTCTGAATGGCAAATTAGTATTTTGGTACAATTGACAAAGAAACTGTCAATGTAGGTGGCAGAAATTTTCTCATGAACATTTCTGACCACTGAGATTTAGAAGAGAAGGTAAAAATTCACATTTCTCTTTGTGTCAGAAAGTGTTTCAAAGAATTCCAAGGTGTGCCCCTTATCAGTAGTTACAGTAAGTGGGAAATCATTAAGTGTTGGAATTATTAAATATGGGGGGAAAGGTGCTTATATAAACAGGTTCCTTCCTTTGCCAAACTGAGCTGGATAGCTGTGATGGGGCCCATAGGCAGGTAAGGGCTTAATGTTTAATTTTGGTCAGAAGACTTCTCAGTCTTCTACCTTCCCAAGAGGTGCCTTTTTACACGTACCAGATTAAAATATACTTCCCCCTGTAAAAAAAATTAATTAAATAAAATGTACTTCTCCTTGTTTGCCCAAGAATTTAGTCTATACGATATTGATAGTTTCCATGTCACTGAACAATCAGATTATTATTATATCACAAAACCAAAGTAAAAAGTATCAGAATGAGGAGAATAAGGATATCAATGATTCAGGAACTTGGAAACAGCCAAATGGGGTCTTTGGGGTCTTATTTTAGGTGTAGTGTCTTAAGTATTTCTTCCGAGTCCCATCCCACCACCTTGATTCGGATCTTCATTTCTCCCCAGTATGGACAATGATATGTTTCCTAAACTCTCTTCCCTGATTCTAATCTCTCTCCAACTCAGACTTCATAATGCCACCACATAGGAACCTAAATTATAGGTTTCTCTTTCTCAAAAACTTAATTGTGCACTAGTGATACTGGCATTGCAAACTGGTTAGTGTGGCCTTCAAGCCCTACAAAATACATTTGCAATTTAGTTTTCCAGCCAGATCCAGCTGCCACCTCATGTTTCAGGCCCACCATGCACTTGGACACGTACATGGCCTGTGCACATGCAGCTGACTCCCCTCTCCCTATTCTTTACAACCAGGAGTTACTATTATAGACTAGAGCTAAGATTCCACCTAGTCAGTGCTTTGGAACAAAGTTAACACACCTTCAAAAGTCCAATAGTGAATTATCAGCCAAACCCTATCCATTCGCACATTTATTCAGTGCCTACTACGGTCTCTATGTTCAAAGATGAATAAGACACAGTGCCTGCCCTTCGGAGGTTCGAAATATAGTGTGGAAAAACAGATGTGTAAACATATAAGTGATAAGTGCTATAAAATGAACAAAGTGCTATAAAAATGTACTTGTGAAGCATATTTACTGTTTCAAGGGTCATAATTTAAAATCAGTAAGTAATTCTTTGGAAATACTCATAAAGATTGTATGTCTTAAATAGTTTATTAAGTGATGCCCTTAAAGATTTTAAAACATTACCACATTCAAATCTTTCCATGTTGAATGTGAACAGTAAAGATCTTTCCAACTATTACATTAAAAGGTGCAACAAAATACTAATCTTTGTTATACTTCCTGCTTTATATACATTTTTTTTTTGGAGTTCTGGGTCCGTTTCATAACTGAAAAGAACTTCACATAGTCTACTTTTGTATCTTTGTTATAATTCCTGCTTTATATACATTTTTCTGGAGTTTTATGTCTGCTTCATAACTGAAAAGAACTTCACATAGTCTATTTTTGTTCTATGAATCAAATACAATTTCCATATTTTTCTGTTAGCTTTTCCCTTTTCATATGCTGTGCTTCAGTGTTACCCATAACAAATCTCTATTCAACTACGAGTCTTCCCTGTGTTTAGAATTCACCTACATGCAAATCTGAATTAAACACATTTCATTTAAAATCTTTTCAGAGTTCAGAATTCAGTTTCTACAAAAATTCAATCCTTAAGAAATTTAACGGGCTTAAATTTCCCTTACTAACTTTAGAAGCTAGAAGACTATACAGCATATGTAGTCTTTTCTGTACACCTTGAAAGTTATGTAAGATATGTAATTGCCATGTGTGTCCTCCCAGCATGAGGATGGTGAGAGTGATAAATAACATGCTATGTCCTCTGCAGGGTGTGTGTGTAACTCCTCTCATATGCGCGGACATTCCTACGTTCCTAGCGCTGGATCTATTGCAAGCAAGGAGTGCAGGAGCTGAAGACGGCACCTTCATTCTATTACAGACGGGTGAGGGAGTGAGATCTTCCTTCCCTTCGGGCTTGTGCCATATTTATTCATAGACCTTGAGGACAGAGTTAATCTGAATGTTTAAACCTTTTCAGTGTTTTGTGCTTCCTTGTAGCTCACTATTAACTTGGACATGTCATTTCCAATACTAATCCAGAAGTGATCCTTCTAATCAAATATATATTGTTTAATAGAATTAGAAATTTTTTTTGAAGTACCAGTTTTATCACAGGTACGGCAACCTAACACATCCAGGCCAATTCTGTTTACATTTGTAATGCTTCCTGCTGCTGAACAGTCTACCTAGTTGTAGACTTTAGGCCTCTGATAGTCTTAGTGTTCTTCCCCATTCTCTGTTTTAACTATCACCTCTACACAGACTCTCCCAGTTATACAAGTCCTACTCTTGAAAAGCTTACCTGATGGTTCTATCTGCATATCCTGATAGGACTTTAAATTCATATTTTCTCCCCAAGTATCTCCCCCTTCAGATTTTCTTATTTCTGTCAATGATGGTATATAATTTTTCCAATCAGAAAGTGGACTCACCCTTGCTCTATGTCTCTTTCTACAGCCAATCAATTATCAGTATTTGTCAACTTTATTTCCTATCATCTCTTGTGTTAATCTTTTCTATTCTCACTCTCTTATCCTTCGTTTAGGATCTCACTTCACATCTAAGCTAGTATAATACTGTCTCCTTAATCTTAGTCTCTCCCTTCTCATTTACCTTCCAGAACAGTATTAGATAAATCTTCTAAATGATTTGCACAAGTTACCTCCCTGCTCAAGTGCTTTCAACAGCATTTAAACTTTAAATACTTTAAACTTCCGGGTATAGCATTTAAGGTCCTCTATAATCTGACTATTCTACCTCTTTAACCAAACACTCTAAACATTCTATGCTGTCTATAAGAGATCCCCCAAAACAAGATTATGATTGAAGGGCTGTTCTTTTGTTAACCAAATTCAATAATAGGTAGATGTTAAGCTTTGTAAGTCAAAATCAAAGAGATTAATGAAGGAGCAAGATCTCTCTGGAGGTATCTAATACTAAGATACTCTCTTGTAAGATCAATTCTATGTTAACAAGGACTATATTAACAAAGTACGAAATTGAAATAGAAAAATAACCTGCTAGGGATTACTTAATGAAGGCAGCTTGAATGGGAACAACATACAGTAGACTGTTACAGGAAAAAGCATAAAATCTTTATCAAGTTTTCTAGGAAGATACATTCAAAGAATAATCCTAAAATTAGAAAGACCTTTGTAATTATTTAGTACAACCAAGAAATCTTCTAAATTAGACAACTGAAAGCCAAAGGAACTTTGTGACTTACCTACATTTATACAGCTACTTCATACACGGTTTCTGAAACTAACTAAATGCTAATAGTTACTGAGGTTTTACCATGTGCTAGGCAGTGTGCTAGGTGCTTGACTGGTATTATCTCACTTAATCCTTGCTTCAGCCCTTAGAACTTTAGTAAACCTCATTTTACATTTGAGGGGAATAAATCACTAAAACTCTTTTTTCTCTAAATTTTTGATCTTTGGGTTTCACTGCTCACATTTGTTATGTAACCTGCCTTCTTCATCTGGAAATACTTCTTTTCTGTACCTTACTCTAATACCCAGTTTGCCACTTTGGAAAAACTGCTGCTATACCTAAAATAATTTTAATTATATTTTTACCAGTGACTTATAATAATTCATGCTAACATGAGTTATTTTACATAGTTTTTCAGATAGGAGTTTTAGTAAAATTTTCACTAAAAATTTAGTAAACTGGGCGCCTGGATGGCTCAGTTGGTTAAGCAGTTGCCTTCGGCTCAGGTCATGATCCCAGGGTCCTGGGATACAGCCCCATGTCGGGATCCTTGCTCAGCTGGGAGCCTGCTTCTCCTCTGCCTGCCACTCCCCCTGCTTGTGCTTGCTCTCTGGCTCTCTCTGTGTCAAATAAATAAATAAAATCTTTAAGAAAAATTAAAATTAAAAAAATTTACTAAATTAAAAAATTCTGTTCACTTTTACATTATTTAGTTCTTTCTAATATGGCGCTGCTTAAAAAAAAAAGAAAACCAAAAATAAATAAATAAAGTTTAAAAATATGCCCCCCCAAAAAAGAAAACCAAACCTCAGAAAAGGCAGGTGTTATGTATAATCACCCCAAAAGACTGAGGAAAATAACACAATGACCTCAGGATCACTTGTCTAAAACCTGCTGATGTGACAAAATAGAGACTTATCAGCACAACATTGTTTCTTAATGTCCTTGGAAAAGGGGATAAGAATGAATGAATAAATAAGTGCTAGAGTTGAGGAATTAGACAAATATTGACTAGTCTTTCAAAAAGTTTGTTGGTTAAGGTAAAGAAAAAGATAGGGTGGCAGATGGAGGTGTGTGTTTGTCTGGTATGGAGGAGAAATGCAAACATGTATGAGCTGAAGGAAGGAGTCTGTGGACAGGGAGGGATTAAAGAGACAGAAAGGGTAACTGACAGAGCAGGGTCCCAGAGGAAGACTTTGTTCTACAAGATAGCATGGTCATAGTGACAGGATTGACAACTACCTAGGCTGATTTATTATGCCATGGAAATGGCTCAAGTTCGAGAATTGGGTGATATATAATAAAAGTACCCCCTTTAAAATAATTATGAGTCTATATGTAATACTTGTAATCACAATTTTTTTAAAAAACTAGGTAACTCCCTACATAGGACTATGTTCATCGTTGAATTATTAAAACGGTGTTTCGCCTGTAGCAGATAAATGAGTGAACTGTGATACGATGAAGCATCGTAAAATAAACAATATATATATATTTAAAGACACTTATACTTACTATAGATTGAAAATATTCAGGAGAGATTCCTTCCAGTTCAAGGATTTTATCCTCAAGTTTTTTAATTCTCTGATAAATGTCTCTTGGCACTGGACCACCTAAATACATTAAGAAAAAATTCTGAGATACTATTGAATAATTCTTCTTACAAATTTTATTCTTAAAATACCATGCAGGGGCGCCTGCATGGCTCAGTCTGTTAAGCAGATGACTCTTGATTTTGGCTTAGGTCATGATCTCAGGATCCTCAGATCGAGCCCCATGTCGGGCTCCCTGCTCAGCCAGGAGCCCACTTCAGGATTCTCTTTCTCCTTCTGCCCCTCCCACTGCTCTCTCTCAAAAAACAAAAACAAACAAAAACATGCAAAGAAGATATTTACACAGAGGAATGGGAAATATTTAAGCTTGAGAAGATAATGAACAAGAGTAAAATGAAATGAAATCCTTAGCTCACATTTTCAATATTATACATTATGGGGTATTATTATTCTATTGTACCTCTCCTCAAGCCCCATTTATGCTTCCTGTTTTGCCAGGAGTTTTATTTTATGTTAAATTCATTACAAGCTACTGAAGAGTTCCTGTACAGAACAATTTGTACTTCTGATAGATTTTGATAGATACTTGGGAGGAGAAAAATGCACAGGGACACCTAACAGTTCAATTCAGTGACTGCAGTATGTCTTTATCACTTTCTTCTATTTATATTTCTCCTTACATGCCACATTTCCTTCTTTAACCTAAAAGAATATTAAAGAGGAGCTTTATCATAATTCTTAATTAACAAACTTTCTGTGGAGGGGGAAGATAAATTAAGGTTATTCAAATTTCAAGGTTATGATTGTATTCCAAATCCTCTTATTTCTTGCACCACAATGTGACCATTCTGTCTAGACCCCCACCACCTCTCTACGGATACCACAACCTTCAAATTGGTCTCCTTGTTTCTGCCTTGCTCCCATAGTCTATTCTCAACACAGCAGTGACCCTTTTAAAATGTAAAAGTCAGATAGTGTCATTTCTCTGCTCAAAACCTTCTAGTACCTTTGCATCTCACTCAGATTAAAAACCAGAGCCTTTACTTACAGTAGTATCCAAGGTCCTACGCAATTTGGACATTCTCTCCACACCCTTATCATTCTAGCCACTTGATTCCTTTTTTCTGTTATTCAAGTAGGCCAAGCACTCTCACATGTGGTTTCCTCTGCCTCCATATTCACAAGGCTTGGCCTCACCAACTTTAGGTCTGGGCTCAAAAGTTACCTTATCAGCAAGGCCTTTTCTGACCACCCTTTAAAAAATACCAGTGTTACACGCCGCCCCCCACCGCAATCCCTATCCTTTCTCTAATTTTTTTCCAAATCATTACTACTACTGGATAGTCCTATATTTTATTTATTGCCCATTTCTCCACTTTAATGTAAGCTCCAGGAGGGCATAATTTTGTTTTGCTCATTGTGTATGGCTGTGCAGCTTGTGCACTGCACAAACCTAGGAACCATCAGTTCACAAACTAAACAGGTGCTCAATATTTACTAACTGAATGAATACATAATTAGATAATCATTATGCAATTAAAGCATATGGGCAAATTTTCATATCAAAAGTATCAACTTATTATATATGAAAAATCTAGAAGTAGGTTTCTTTTTTGAGAATGTTTACCTTAGAATCTGGGTCATTCTTGCTCTTGAGTAAGGTAAAATGAGTAACTTATTCAATTGACTTTGCTCTTGCTGCCCTCTTTACCTAGAATGCCCTATGGCTCACCTCTGTATCTTTCAAGAGCCAGTTCAAACTTCACTGATTCAGTGAAGCACTGCCTAAAATCTCTTCACATGGAGGCTCCTTGTGCCCCACCATACGCTTCCTTCATAGCCCCCATAACATTCCACTTCAATATTATTCTTTCTTCCAGATTATAAAGTTCTTGAAGCTAGGGATCACAACTGTATCATTTTAGTATCCCTTGTGTCTAAAATAGCACTTGGCACATAGCAGGCATTCAAAAGATATTTTTCAATTAACGACCTGATATTATTAGACTTTTATATATATATATATATAGAGAGAGAGAGAGAGAGAGCCTGTGCAAGCCAGGGCAGGGGAGAGGCAGAAAGAGAGAGATGTGGCGGGGGGGGGGGGGGGGGAATCCCAAGCAGGTTCCATGCCCGGTGTGCAGAACCTGATGGGGCTCAATCTCACGACCCTGAGATTATGACCTGAGCCAAAAATCAAGAGTTGGATGCTTAACTGACTGAATCACCCAGGCACCCTGATACTATTAGACTTAATAAGCCAATCCATCCTTTTTTCAGTTGTTTTTTTTTTAATCCATTTAGTTATGGGGGAGGGGATTAATTTTTAATGCTAATCTCTTATTACCCTTGAAGTTTCACTCAGTCTCATCTTCTTTTACTTCCACTCAGCAAATACTCCAGCTAGACTGGACTCAGAAATTCCCCAACCAGATTTGTGTGCCTCAGTGCTTTTTGCAGATGGTGTTCCCTCTTTTTGGAATAATTTGCTCCTGCCTGCTGACAAATTCCTACTAATCTTTCAAGGGTGCAAATGTCACTTCACCAGGGGTACCATCTCTTGACTTCCCCTGAAAGAGCTGAACACTAACTTTGTGTACCCACTGTACTTTGCATATGATCTGAAAAGGTGAAATGAGCAATCGTTCATTTAAAAAGTCCTGAATACCTGTTTTGTGCCAGACACTGCACTAAGCACAACGTTAATGAACATGAGTTTGCTCTCGCAGACCTTACTATCAAGGGAAACAGATATTAAACACACACAACTGTGATAACTGCTATAAAGGAGGGCAGGGAGTACCAGGTACTACTGAGACTACATGAAAGGGGAGTCCATACCAGTCTGGGATCAGGAGGGGAAAGCGTGGGCAGGAGAGAAAACCTTGGTGAAGGCCCTAGGACAGCAAAATGAGTGGGAGTTGGGAAGCCCAGAGATGGGGCTGGAACTATAGATGTAGATCATGCTACCTAAAATTACAATCCCCTCCCATCTCAAGCTCCTTTCTCTTCTCTTGGTCAAGCTGCTTTTATCTGTAGCTCTTCTTGTGTAGCATATAATTTATATACTAGAATTTTTGTTCACATGCATTCTCAGTGCCTAGAATAGCACCTGGCTTATAGTAGGAACTTAATACCTATTTGTGGAATAAATGAATAAAGACTAAGTTTGGTATGCATATAAGGGTAAGAGGAAACCATGAAAGAATTTTTAGCTGGGGAGTAGCAAGATCAGTAAGATCAGAACTTCAGGAAAAGCAATTTAGCCACTGGTACAGAATTGGTCTTGAGGAAGAAATCTAGTGGCAAAGTAATCAGCTGATATCCTTCCATCAGTCCAAGGCAGAGAACACAGTGACTTCAACTAGAGTAGTAGCTGTAGAAGTAGAAAGAAGTAGGTAGATCTGGGAGATATTTAGAAGACAGAATCAACAGGATCTGGTGACTAAATGGGGAGGGAGACTCAGGCTTTGCAGCCAGTTAAGAGTGAGGTTTGATTTCTACTTGTCATTACTACCTTGGGCATGTTGCTTGAGCTCTCTGAACTCAGTTTCTTTATCTGACAATAACAGCACCAACAACTCACAAGGGTACTGAGGGTACTGTTAAATATTAAGTTAGTTGACATGTATTAATACTTTGAGAGTGACTGGCACTTAGTATTATTCAATAAATGTCAGTTCACTTCCCCTATGGCATTTACGGATTTATATGCTTATTCTGACTGAAAGATCCTTGAGGACTAAGATCACACTTAGCAATACTTTGTACCTAGCACAGTGGGTGAGAAGAATGAGACACAGTCGTGGTTATGAAATTGGTGGCAGGAAAAAGATTACATTAATTTTCAGCTGTGACTTAATAAACTGAGAATGTCAGGACCTATTTGGAATCTATTCCCATTCTATTAACAGTCTCAAACTGGTGAGAAGTTTAAGAGGAGGAAGAAGAGCATAAACACATAAACTGTGGATTCCTTGCTTATTCATTTTTGTACCAACCAGAACAATGTTTTGTACATGGCAAATGCTCAATGAAAATTTTGTAACTAAATAAATTGGAGTTTAACTACTAACAAAGGAACATTTATGGGGCACCGACCAGCATTCCGCTTACCTGTCTGCAATCTCAAGTGAGCCTCAATATTTTGTAGTCGTTCTTCGACAGCCTGATTACCACAATCTCGGAGCAAGCTGTTAGGTTTATGACCTGACCCTTGAATTCCTTCAGGTCTAGTCTGTGGTCCATATGTATTCACAACTCTAGAAACTAAATTAAGAAACTTTTGAAATATAAATTTAATAGGCTTAAAAGTCAGAAATTCTATCTCCCTAACAGTACTTCATATTCTTTTTATAAAGACCATCTGACCATCAAGCCAAGTACAAAGCCAAGACTTTTTATTTTATTTTAAAATAAACAAAATTTAGATAGGAAGTGATTTCTACTTCATTTTGCTTATAATCTAGAATAAGCTTCTGACAATGATGAAGATATGTAGTGGATACTTACCTTTTACATGACTTTTAAATCCCGGGTAAGGAGTAAAAACGGCATCAGTTCTTGCACAACTGTTTTCTTAGGAGAATTTAGATGAGTATAAGTTTAAGTATATTCTTAACTTTAAATGTATGAGATTTTGATAAATTTCCAATACATATTAACATACTAATAAGAGAATTATCATTTTAAATAATAGTAATTAAATCACCATCTCATACAGGATAAAATATAGTGAACTTTCCCCTCTAAAATTTATAATCTTTAATTTATCTAATTTTCAGATTTGCATATAGAAAAGTCCTTAGCATTAAATGGCGTAATTTAATTTTTAATAAATACCAGTATCTCCCCCAAACCATCTGGGTCTTTGGAGAAAATACTTTATATTTTATAGGAGCATTTTAATTCTAAGCCAAAGAGACATTATTCCCTTTATTTCATCATAGAAATAAACAGAACTCATTACTTTTACTGAAAAACCTTTTTAAAAAAATTCAGCATTTTAGGATTACTTACTGATCAAATTAAGGATCATCTAATAAAAAGGATTAATTATACATTTAACACATTTTTATTTCAGAACTCCAAAGAGATCTTGAAACCTCAAGAATAACACATACTTTTCCACTTTATTTAGGTTTCCAGTGCTCATTTAAAAAAATCTCTAACAAAAGCTATCTCTCTCTTTCCAGACCACTCTTTTCAAAAAATGCAATTTTAGGAAAAATAAGTTGTAAAAATTTGTTCCAATTTTTTTCTAAGTTGAAAGGTATAATTTTTTTTCAAATTAGGTTATCAACAAATAAATTACAAACCCGGGGGAAAACTGGAATAATGCTAACATAATATAAAAATGTTTCAAATATTGTAAAATATTTAAAATGACATTAAGTAAAACCATGCACTGCAATAAATTTCCTGAAAAATTCCCGATTTATAATAAAAAATAGATGGTAAAAGAGATACTGAAAGAAAATTCTTTTTTTCCCTATGGAATTTTTTAAAAAAAAATCTATTGTTTATACTTAAGTCAGACTGACAGGTATCAAAGGAATACACTAACACATTACAATACATTCATATTTTTTTCAGTCTAAGGTTCCTTTATAGTTCTGCTAACAAATCAAATTATGTGAATATAATTCCAAATTCATCTTTTATATATAGATACTAAACAGAATCATTTTCTTTTTCTTTCCTTTTTCTTTTGAGACACATCAATATACGTTTAAAGGGCCATGACTTCTCCATTCTCTTTTTACCATCTCACGGTGCTAAGGGTTAAAAAAAGAAGCTATCATCCATTCCAGAGTTATATTCCAAGTATATAGATTAACTGACCCATCAGTGAGAAATTCAGTATGGTGTGAAGATGGTGAATGTATAAGTGCTAGTCCCTCTCCACAGCAATTCTTGCTAGCACTGTTTTGAGCCAGCAAGGGATTGAATGGGCCAAGGAATCCTGCTGAGCATTTCAATTCTTGTCAATTTCTATCCCCTGGTGGTTTATAATAATAGAGTTAGCAGGGAGAACGAGGAATAACATTAGTGACACATGTGCTTGCTCCCTCAACAAACCCTTTCTCATGGGTTGCTTGCAGTTGGATGGATTGTAGTACCTGAGATTATGCCACTACTGTACCTGTTCTGAAAAGCTAACAGGAAAATATACTAAGTCTAGAGATAAGCATGTATAATGTTAATAGCAGAAAAGGCTGAATTTAGGACCCACTTGAGCCTGTATTATTTCATTATTAAGAGAATCAGTGTACCAATATAAGAGTCAATTCTAGGTTCATCTGACAATTCTGTATTCATAATAATTAGCTAAGAGATGTTAGAGGCAACAAGAAAAATGTTCATTCCAATTAGGAACTCTTCTCCATAATTTTTTCTAAGAACTACTTGTTCTGATTATTACTATGATGCCTGAGTAAGATCTATGCCAGTGTTCTGCAGTATTCTGTAGCATACCTGCAGATCTGTAAATATACTATAGCATCAAGAAGAAAAGGAGAATCTGATGAAAAACAGCAAATGTATACACTATGAGAGAAAGGAAAAAAGCACAAGACACCACAGTCTTGATGACAGACTGCTTTTATCGTGACAGAAAACATTTCAAAAAGCTCAGGAGTAGTGAGAAAACTGCTCCCTCTTGAGGAGTATTAACTTTACTAAGTTTACTTATATATTAATACAATTTCAAAAGTACACTTACAGGCTCGAAATTTATGTAACTTAGTTCCTTCTTATTAGTGAGACTGAAAAATGCTGCCACCCATACTTCATCTTCTTCATTTCCCAAAGAAACTTTAAAAAAGAATCTTCACCTGTGGTAAACATTAGCCCTTTTATGTCTGCATTTATTAGATTTTTGCTAACCAAAATGAAACCCATTTTTTTTTGAAGATTTTTATTCTATTTATTTTTTTTATTTGAGAGAGCTAGCGAGAGAGCACAAGAGGGGGTAGAGTCAGAGGGAGAAGTAGACTCCCTGCCGAGAAGGGAGCCTGTTGCGGTACTCGTTCCCGGGACTCCGGGATCATGACCTGAGCTGAAGGCAGCCGCCTAACCAACTGAGCCACCCAGGCACCCTGAAGCCCATTTTTGCAATATAGTCTTATTAAATAGAATTTCTGCTGCCTTAGTTTCTAAATCTGTGAAATAAATTGTGATTTAATGTTATTCATTTTTAAACACAAATGAAAAATCAGAGCAACTCTAAAAACTGTGCTTAAAATCCTTTGAAAATTAACTTCTTCCAGGTAGTTACCTTGATTACAATCAATAACATTGCAAAATTCCCTGACGTTGTTTTCATTGATTTCAGCTTGCTTTCTTTCAATAAATGCAGATATTCGTCTGTCAATCTATAAACGATAACGCATGTTTTAACAATTCGAGCATAAGATTTAAAATAATACTCCCCCCCCAAATAAAACCTTCTTACTTCTGCTTTTCCAGCCTTTATTTGAACTACTTCTGGATCAAAATGGATCTGTGTCTGTTTCACATCTCCTAAATCACAATCTTTGTGCTTTTCTTCCTCTTGTAGGTCACTAATGGGAAATTTGGCATTTACTTCATTCTTGTTCCCCGTTTCTGTTTTTTCTATCTCTCCAACAACAGTTGTATTCTCCTCTTTAATCAGAGGCTGAAGTTTTGCTAAAAAAGGCTGAGAAGAACACAATTCCATCTGCAGAGGTTCAAACTAATCAAAATTAATTACACATTTAACATTTATATAAATTTCTGCTAAGTAAACGCAATATTTTGTATCAATTAACTACATATAAAATGTTGGCATATCAGGATACATAGATCTGATCACATGTCAGTGTTTGCTGTTCTCTGCTATTGTGACATTATCATTTGGTATAAATCTGTTAAAAAAAAAAAAGAAAGAAAACCTGAGTAAATTTAAAATTTTCTTTGAGGGAATCATTCTGTCACTCATCTTCTATTTTGTGCCAAATCAAAGCCTCAGCCTCTGGCACCAATGCCACTTAATTAACATGTCATTCAAATGCCTCCTCAGAACACTAAGGCTTAGTATTTTTCCTCCTTAACATGAGAGCCAGTGCTCTCACTCAGCAAAGCCCTGCATTATCACTGTATCACTGGAGATTCTCCACTTGAAACTGCAGTTGGCCAAAGTGAATGAGAGACAGCATAGACATGAAATATATAGGTGTTATGCTGAGTGAACACTCAGGCTTTTCCTGACATGGCAAGACATCTTCTTAGGTCATGAAATTAAATTTTTAAAAAGAAAATGAACAAGAAAAAAAAAAACTACCAAGATCCACAGCTGAAAAGAGATATATGCCTATCACTATACTAGAGGGGGTTAAAAAAAAAACAACAAAAAACAACCCTATTGTATAATGTAAATTATATTACTCACCCCCCCTCCTCCATTAATCAGGCCTCAACTGAGTTCTATCGCTCATTATTTCTGTCCTTTAATATTAGGGTTAACTATTTCAACATGAAACAGAGTTAAAATTTCCCATAAAGTCACTGAACAGAGGGCTGAAAATTAATGTTTATTCCATTAATCAAAGCATACCCATACTTGTCAGTGTTCCAGTTATTTTTTCATACCTGTAATTTTGCTTCCGTTGTTTATTGTTTACCAGGTACTCTTCTGAAACCTTATAACATCTTAATAGCAGTAAAATGACCAATCCAAATAGTTCTTCCACTTACCTTTTGACACTTTGTATTTTATACTTTGATTAGAGGTAAACTGCAAACTTACAATTGCAGAGATGTTCAATTGGAAACCAGCAAGGTCATAATACTGTTCAATTACTGAACTGAAATATTAAAAAAATATAGCAGTACTATTTTAAATAATTCAATGTTGATTTCTAATATAGAGGATGAATTATTTCAAACTGTTAAGAAAAAGAAAAGATAAAATAGTGACTGGCTACTTACTAAGATGAGACATTAATGTCACAGAAATTACTTTCTTTTTAAAAACTATGCTGAAACTGTTTAATTGCAATAGACACTCCAGGATGTGTCATGCTGGGATAATGCCACTTCTTGAACCACTGAAAGCACTCCATGAGCCTCCAAACTCACCCAAGGCATGGAATCATTATCATAGCATGACACACACCTGCCGTGTCTTATTGCTTAATTATAACCCACCATAGATGCAACTGTATTGAATTTTCAGTGCAAGTCTAGAATTGAATAGAATTGCATTCATTCAGTCTTCACAGCCACATCGGCCTATTGAACTATATTCCTGAGACTGTCCAGATCACTATATAAATTAACAGATTTGGATCTAAAGTGGCTGAAGTAACCTTTTATTGATAACACTATTAATACAGTGGTAAGAACTGACAAATACTCTAGCTTATAATTTAACTATAATTAATTTCTATTCTCAATACTGACTTAACATTTTTAACAAGAAATTTACCTGTAAATATAAAACATGATGCTCAAGTGCACTAAAGAGCAAAGCGGGCTGGAATGCCGAGAGGCTCTGGAGCTTGTTCCAATCGATTGTAATTTTCACCACATCATCTCTGAGGTTAAGCTTCAAAGGGGCAAACCAGCAACATCACAAAAATTACACGATTAAGCTGTGTATATGGGATGTCACAAAAATAATATTTCTTTAGAGTAACATGCCTATTTAGCTCAAAGTTATCAGATTTTTAATGATACATTAAAATGCTCTACCTAGTTATCATTTTAAAAGGCCAAGAAAGGTGTAATTTTCATAGAAAAAAATGCAATGATACCTCATTCTAATTCTATTCTTGGGTCTGTGTAATGGGACCATCTTACAGGTGAAACCATCCACGGAAGATGGAAAGATGAGGTTTTTTTGATACTTCATTATCTAAAACCTTTGGATGAGGGCCAAGTATTTCTAGCTCAGAGCACTAAACAGAAGGGGCAGGCACATTTATGAAAGTTCTGATATAAACATTTCTTTTTGTTAAATATGTACACAAAGACATAACTGACATATATTCTGATGTTTTCTGAATCACATTTTTATTGCTTTCAACTTTAACCAATTTTAAAATAATTTAAAAATCAACATTATTCATACATATTATAAAGCCTAGGGATAAATGGCAACGTGTTTATCTACTTTAAATAAAAAACTAATCTAGCTGTGGAAATCTGAAAGTGAAACAGTCTTCCACAATAGTGAAATAAATGGTCAGAGACTGAATGGAATGGCTAGATCTTTCACTAAATAGTATTTTCTAATACTTGTGAGGGCTTGTCATATAAAACTTCTTATAAGTTGGCTATGTGTGACCTATTAGAATAAATTATATATAGAAAACTACCAAGAACCCAAATATAAAATTAATATCAAAATCAGTGAAAATCTTAGAGGGAAAGCCTCCGTCTCTAGGCTTTCAAGTGAATAAAAGTGAACCTCCATAAACTTTTCTAGGTATATGTGTTTATAGCATACTATAAAGATATGCTGCATGGTAGAATTAAGTTTATTGTTTTTTTCAGAAATCATTTATTAAAAGTCATGTTTTCTACAAAATAAAGGCAAGTATTACATTAGTTCAAATACAGATGTTATGAGTTGTGATTATAATAAAACAAAAAGATGAATCACTGTACAAAAAACAAGAGATCCAAAGTTACCAAAAAAGGCACTATATTGAATACTGTATGACAAAAATTTACCACCCTTTACATGAGACAGGAAACATTAAAAGTCTATTATCAGATAAGTATAAAGAAATAGGAAGTCTTGGATAGGCTGCACTGGCAAAGATTAGTTTATAATCACTAAGGTTTTACATTAAGATTACTGCATTAATCTTAGTTTATATTAATGCCCATAAAAATTTCATTAGACAACAACTTATGTATGGAAGTAAACTATTACTGTACTTCTACAGTCCTCTAAGACTGTTAAAATCAGTTGATAACAAATTTATGAATAGAGTTTAGGGGTAACAGACAAATCCTCAACCAAAGTAAAGCATCAAATTTTCTAGAGAAAATAATAACTTACAGAAAATAAATCTTAATGTTGGGATCATATTCTTTCAATTTAACATAATTATGTAAGCCTTTCAAGCACAATTAAAGGTACTTGGTTTTTTTTAAGAAAACCACATAATAATGATATTAATTAACTTTAAAATTATCCCAATATATCCAACTATTTATTCAACAAATTCCCTATTAGTAATATGAGTTCTATGCATTTTTACCCTTTATACTTGTAATTGTAAACCATTCACTCAAAAATGTATTAGTCTGACATTAATAAGGACTATTTAAATATGCATTTTCAGTAAAAACTTAAATTAATATGAAAATCCAAGCTAACAATAAATAATGCTTCAACTTGGTAAAATGAGCCATGCAGAGGCAAGCAATAAGGTTAAAACCAGTAAATTTGAAATCTGGGATACTTTTTAACATTCAATTTTATGTTTCCTATTGAGGAGAGCCAACAATATAATGATACTATGCAGAATGAAATTAAGCATATGGAAACTTTTTTTTTTTTAAACTTACATTTAAAAAAACATCCTGTAAACTTGTTGCAAAAGTAAATAGTGATTTTCCTCCAGGGGCAATTTTATAAGTATTGTGGCTTTCATTCTTATCTTTTAACAATACATCTCAAAATATAAAGAGTAACATCAAAATGGTTAGTATTTAACCGATGAGACAATGATTTAATTTTTTGACACTTGTATAGATGGCTCCTTCACTGTGTCACGTTATCTTTCCAAATATTTACTCCAAACATTTTTGACAGGTGACATAACTTTAATCACAAATATGTATTAAAATTTGTAAATGAGTTTTAAAAATTCAGTATGCAATATATTTCAAAAGAAATGTTTATTTCTTAATGTTACTTTAAAAATATCTCACCACTGAAAATAAAACTTCTGTAAATTATAGGTGAGCATAAACTTTTTTCATCCTGACATTAAAATACAAATAAACCTTAAAATTCCAATGTCCAGGACATAAAACGTTCTTAAACCGTTAAACCATTACAGCTGTTGGGTGATAAGACTAAAATATCAATGTCCCCAGGTCTTTAAAAAATTTTAGTAAGTCCATGGCAAACAACTGAGTTCAAAAGTTACAACTTTTAGCAGATTCTATTAATAATTGTTCTGTTACACCAAACAAAATTTTAACTTAGAGTAATGCTTTTTTTAAGGCACGGCAAACATACTAGGATTTTAAAAATACTGAAATAACCTTTTAAAAAATTCTCCATCCACCCACGGCTTTTAAAAATAATTTTTTTTACAAATCAGACAAATGTTCTGCTTTCATAAAGTTAACATTATCTTTGACATAAAAGTCTGCTGTGCCTACTACATGCACTAGTACCAACCCCATAACAAACTTTTAGAGCTGGAAAATATTCCAAGATACAAGAGAAAAGATTTCCTTTTTAAAAGCAAACAAACTTATTTTCAAGTTGTTTCTCATTTATAGTATGCTTTGTATTTTACTTCATGAAACGAAGTAGTGAGTTGATTGGAATAGAATGTAAGGAGTACTTTTATTTAAATCCAATTTATTATGACATTTCTGCAGAAGCTATTTATCAGCCAGTTAAATTAGTTAATAATTAAATGATTAAACAACAGTTCTGATGCAAACTGTATCAACCATGGACAACTCATCCAACTTTATGCAAGAAGTATTTACATTAATTCCTTTTATTTTCCTCCCCATATGAAAGGGTAAGAGATGCACACAGCGACCAGAAGGAAAAAAAGAAAGAAACCAAGTGACTCCTAAAAGCAAATCACCCAAAAAAGGCGGGGAGAGCTTTTCCAAAATTCTCAGGCCGTACAAACCTATCAATTTCTATAATGAATTCACTGAAGGAAAGGCGATCGTGAGCGCCAGGCACCTTCCAAACCCACAAAGCTTTTTTACACGTTCATTCTCTCCAAGCCTGTTCTTCTCGGAGCGGGTTTTTCACTTACACTACGCTCTCTCACTCTCGGGGAGAAGAGTTGCAAGGAAATCTGATCTGCAACCCATCCTGAACTAAGCCCGTACGGCCATCCTCCGACCGCAGACTGCTGGGCTCGGGCTCCTCCTCCGGCCTCAGCTAGTCTGTCCCGATCCCCAGCAGCCCTCCGCAGCCCCCCGGCAGCCCTCTGCAGCCCCCGCCTCCGCTAGAGGAAAAAAGGGGGGAGGGGCCGGATAGTTCCCACACCCCTACTCCCACAGATCACCACTCACTTGTCCCACCAGGCTATGCAGAGAGCGAAGGAATTCGCAGAGCACCTCTTGGGAGAGATTGGGGCTGCAGCTCCGCTCCAGACTCCTGTCATCATTGCTCGAGCGACTAAGCTCAACGGCAGCAGCCATGACACCTTCGCAGGCTACCCCCGCCACCACCAAGCTGTGCTCACAACCCCCCTTCCTGCTTTCGTCGCTGCCAGATGACGTAAAAAACACAGCGTCTCATTTAGACCGGGCCTTTGAGGACCACCTCTCGTTATGACTGACAAGACGGTGCACCAATCAGGTGCAGCTATATCGTTACCGAGGACCAGGAGCCGGTAATTGCCGACCTGAGCGAGGCTGTGTACAGCGTTTGAGATGGAGATTGGGGAGGTGGTCTACTGAGGGTTAGCATCCAAAGCCTATCTTTATTTTTAGATGTTGCTAATGAGTGTTGGTAAGAGGAAACTTATAGTTAAATTTAGAGTTTTAGAAGTTAAATTTTTAAATTAAATTTTTTTTAAGATTTTATTTATTTATTCACGAGAGACAGAGAGAGAGGGAGAGAGAGAAGCAGAGGGAGAAGCAGGCTCCCCGCCGAGCAGGGAGCCCGACGCGGGACTCGATCCCAGGACTCTGGGATCATGACCTGAGCCGAAGGCAGACGCTTAACCGTCTGAGCCACCCAGGCGCCCTAAATTAAAACTTTTAACATGGGGCTGTGGAGTGGTCTGAGGAAAGATTGTTGGTCGGGGATGCAGCAGTATCCACACCTGCTTGTAAACTTTGGAAAACTCCCACATAGAATTGTCATACTTTAGAACATTTTCACCTCTACAGGGTTGTTTAAAACTTACGTGAATTAACGTCACTAATTTTTCATGTGAGGGAGCGGAGGATATGAAAGAACAATAGAATGCCCTACTATTCCTCGTGTACTATCAAGGGCGTGACACTAATTACTTTAAATCTGCAAAATAATTATGTTAAGTTTTAAAACGTACATCAGTTGCTATTCGTATCTGGGTGATACTGTAGAGACACTCGCCCCAAAGCTTTCCAAGAAGTCAGACACTCAATACGATTCTAACTGTTTAACCCAAGTAAGTAATTGCATGCAACACAGTATTTGAAACTAGAAGGAAGACATAAATCCGAAGTGAAATTTGACAACGTGTATTATTCATCAGATTTGTTAAAAGATATTTGAAGGACTTTTATAGTCAGAGTCTAAAAAGTTTTGTCCAATTGAAAAAAAATAGAAGAATTTTAAATGTTAAGCTCTATTCAAAAACAAAACCCATCAGTTCATAGATAAGGGACGAGGTATTTAAAATTCTTAACCCTAATAGTCTAATGCATTTACAGTAGAGGAAGCAAAGGTGGAAACTTGCACAATATGTATTCTTCAGTTTTAGAGTAGGCTGAATGAAAGCAGAATAAGCATCAAGAATCTGGAATGGGGCAGTAGAGATAAAAGAACGCCTTTGACCTGTCCCTAGGGAGCCTCTTAATTAGGCTTTCATTTCCAAAGATCACCAGGCTTGACAGGATCTTGAGAAATCTTGTCTGTTCCCTTCCTCACAGCAAGATATACAATTTATAATCCCGCCTATGTCTAGAAACATGCAGAAAAAGATTTCATAATATGTAATCCCAAATTGAGCAACCTTCTCACTCAAGGCACTCATCTCCATATCTAACTAAAATTCATGATTCTTTGCAGTGCTAGCAAATTTTCTTTGCCTCTGGTTCTCTTTTTAGAGGAGAATAATTAAAACGGTAACTAGAATTTTTTTGTAACAAATCAGCAACCAGTTTCAGATCATTTGTTTTCATCTAGGTGTGAAGGTTTTTTTGTTTTTGCTTTTTACCAATATTCAGGACACTGGTAGGAAACAGTTGGGGACATGCTTTGTATATTATAAGAATACCATCTTTAATAAGGCACTGCTCATTCCTTGTCTATGCCATCACTGATTTTGAAATTTCAAGTGTTACTTGTTCCCTTGAGCCTCTATTATAGAAATGATGGCCATTTGATTTTTATATAAGTTCTCTATGTAATTCTGTGTTTCGATATCCAGACTTCCACTTGTATCTTCGTATTGCTTACTGAGATAATACTTGGAATTTAACTCTTTTATGCATTATTTCTACTTTCTAGGGACCTTTCTTACTCCTTCCTGATGCTTATTACCTTCATTTTAGAAAATTTCTTATTTTCTTCTATTTATTTTAAATAGAAGAGTTCATAGGCTGAAAAGATGTGGATTTCCTTGGGCTAACTTTAAATAGAAATATGTAGATAGTAATGTATAACAAAAATATGATGAAAGCTATGACATTTAGAAAGGGAATAAAGGAAATAATTTTCCCCTTATAGAAGACTAATTATAGTTTATAAAGTGGGTTCCTGAAAAATCTGCTACCTGGCAGAAATGATTCAAAGTGTTGGTCTTAGCATTACCAACAAAATTAGAAATACCGTCCTGCAAGTTTATGATAAGAATTAACTGAGAGGATAGAAAGTATAAATGAAATCTGGGCTATCTATCTTATCAACAAAAATGTCGTTTATGAAGAGCCTAAAGGTACAACTCCACTACATAATCCAGTGCACAGCAAAATGCCTGTAGTATTAATAGTGCTCAACAGATGTTTGTTCAATGTATATATTACAAATTTTAACTAATTCAGCAAAGGAAAAATAAATGTTATTTATCTTCTCTGGCTCCCCATCACCTGATGGATAAGTGTAAGTTCCTTAGAATGGCATCTTAGGCTCTTCTCATGATCTGGCCTTTGCCTAAATTTCCAGCCTCATTTTCTGCCACAAACCATCTGGTGCTTAATGCTCCTGAAACTGCTCTTAGTTCTTCAAAATTTTACTATTTTTTGCCTCCATGGTTTTTGTTTTGTTTGTTTGTTTGTTTTTTAATTTATGCCCTTGCCTCTGGTCCGCTTGTAAAACTCCTATTCCTCCTTCAAACTACAGCTCAGAAATCTCTGGGAAGTCTTTCCTTAATTCCCATAAAGAGTTTATCTTTTCTGCTAAACTACTCCTACAACTTGTATATACTTTCCATCATTGTACTTATCATATTGATATTGAAATTTCCTTGACTTTGAGTCTGTCTCCCCATTGAACTATGAGCATTTATATGTATCATGTTCGTGTATTTAAGGTTTGCTATAGTACCTGGCATACAGCAAGTATATGCTTGTTGATCTGAATTTATTTGCCTGTCTAGGGTGAACAGATATGTAAAATGGAAACAAAAACAAGTTTTGCCCTTGAGAGGAAATTGTAACACATGGTAAGAATGATATACAAATTCGCTTCAAATAACAAAGCATGTCTGTTATCCTCTTCTGGAGTAATACCAAATTCAAAGTGCCCCAATTTTTCTTAATGAATAAATATAGCTAGCCTCCATAACCATTCTCATGAATGATAGCCATACCAATCAATTGTACCTTCTATATGCTAGACACTCTGATCAGCATGAGAGATATAAAGATGAATCAGACAAGGACTCTCTCAAAGAGCTCCAATTTTAGTGGGCTAGGCATATTTGTAAACAAGCAACTATGATATAATGTGAGAATGATCATTTTAGATGTATAAAGCAATACTACCAGTTAGTTCTTGTGGGGAGGTGTTTGGATTCAGTGTCAGGAAAAGCTCTAAACACTTGATGTATAACATGGATTGAGGCTCAAATGATGAGTATAAATTTCTCAATTTAGATAAAGCATAAGCAGCAACTTGGACATGCTTAATGTGTTTAGGGAGGATACACTGAATAGAGAAGTATGGCTAAGCCAGCATTTCCCAAAGTTTATTCTGCTGAATACTAGTCCTGTAAGATGCTTCTTTTAACAAAAGTTTCCATGGCCAAATAAGTTGGAGTAATATCAACTAATTGTGTTACCATTTCATGAAATGGATCACAACATTCCACTTTCTATTAGCAAGGAGCTCGCACTACAATCAAGTCCAAGGACACAACTAAACAAATACTACAATCCCATCTTTGAGGATTTGTTTACTGGGACTCTCCATACCAATTTCTGAGTCAGTCAGGGTTTAGTTAGAAAATAGAAACCATACCTGTTATTTGAACAGAGAAAATGTTAATAAATATTGTTATTAGGGTAAATTGTTAACTCAAGAGATAATAAGAAAACAATAATATATCACAAAGTTAGCAAATTCAGGAAGCAGCTAACCCCTCTAGGGCAGGGGGAACAAAGGGAAGAGTTTGGAATTATTAAAATTTAGGAGCTTTGAGGCACATCCCTGTGGAGTCTCTCAGCTGGGATTGATGTCTTAAGAGGTGAGAGGTCGTGATGAGGCTGATTTGGCAAGTGTTTAAAACTGCAAAGAGAACATCCAAGCACTGCACAACAACACTACGCAGTCTAACATACATGCAACTGAGATCCCTAAAGAAAAATAGAGATTGGGGCAGAAGAAACATTTCGAGAGATGATGGCTGAGAAATTTCCAAAAGTAATGAAAACATCAAACAACAGATCCAAGAAACCCAGAGAACTTCAGTAGTAGTTGTATACTGCTGTGTAACAAATTACCCCCAAATTTAGTGGCTTAAAACAACAAAAATTTCTTGTCTCCTAGTTTCTCTGGGTCAGAAATTTAGGAGTGGCTTTGCTTGGTGGTTTTGTCATCCACTGTGGAGAAAGCCAGCAAGGCAAAAGCCATAGCGCCTTTTAGGACCTAGTCTTTCAAGTCACACACTGTCACTTCCATCTGGTTCTGTTTGTCAGTAGCAAGTTATGATGTTTGGCCCATACTCAAGAGGAGGGAAATTAGGTTCCACACCTCCATTTCAAATATGAAGGAGAAATGAAGACTTTTTTATGTAAACAAAACGAAGATATTTGATTATCAGCAGACTGCACTATAAGAAATGTTAAAGGAAGCCTTTCAGGCAAAAGGACCATGATACCAGAAAGAAATTTGTATCTACACAATGAAATAAAGATCTTAAGAAATAGTTAAAATTAAAATGACATATAAAAGACATTCTTTCCTGGGGTCTCTGGGTGGCTAAGTCAGTTACGTGTCCCACCTGATTTCAGCTCAGGTCTTGATCTCAGGGTCGTGAGTTTGGGCCCCATGTTGAGCTCCACACTGGGTGTGGAGCCTACTTAAAAAAAAAAAAAGGATAATTTTTCCT